CAAATTAATTTTGCATATTTAGGGGGTTAAGGGTGTCAGGATGATATCAATTTTATCAAAACTTTCCCAAGTTTTTCTAACATAGCCTGGACAGGCTATATACTCTCAGAGTACCATATCATGAATCGAAGCAAAAATTGTTGGAGGTTAAAATTTTGAAAATTTGAAATTATGGGGAAATTGAATAACAAGTGAAAACCACGCATAAAGACTCGACAGCACATGCAAAGACTTTGACATAACGTTAAAAACATATAAAATTCCTAGAAGTATGAAATAAAGCAATAAATCAAACTAAAAAGCGATAAAATAAAAGCGGTAGAGTTCCTCCCCCACACTTAAACCAAACATTGTCCTCAATATTTTAATAAAAGGTGGAAAAAGGAAAGATAGAACCTGTATGAATGCTACTGTGTGCCAAATCCTCTATCCTTATTTTCTACAAATTCAAACAGATAAACATAGAAACATAAAATAAAAACTTCATGGGTTGCCACGTAGCGCTTTGTTTAACATCAATAGCTTGATGACTAAGGAGTGCAATTACGCATGGTGGTTCTTTCGAGAATGGATCCTCGATTGAACTTTGAATAGTTTTCGGTTTCCATGGCCACTTATCAAGTCATCGCTCATATCCTTCACCTTTTCTTTTCTTTCTTCTGTAGGGTGGTTCATTGTTCTGAACTTGTGGTGGTGGTTCTGGATCTATCCTGAGTATCGATTTTTCAAATTTGGGCTTAGTTATTTCATCCACCACCTCAAAAGTTAATCTCACCCTTTTAACAGTAATGATGACCCTAGTTTCATGGTCCTTGAATTTTCTTTTTTTATGAAGGACCTTAGACAAAGGTGCATTGGTGTGGGTATTTTCCAATAGCTCCACATATGTTTTGGATTTGGAGTCTACCTTAGCTTCCACAACCCTTTGTGGGAAAGAAATAGGTGGGGTATAGGGAGGAAGAGCAACAATAGGTGCTTCCTTCTCTACCTCTTCGACAACCTCCCTTTCGGGTGGTGTCGGTGGATTTTTCTCAATATGTATGCTTTTCTCATCAAAACTCTCCTCAGACTCATGATCACTCTCCCTAGGATTTTCTAATTGTTCTTCATTAATGGTTGTTACAACGTCCACATGTCTCTCAGGGAAAGGTCCTAAAGGTGTTTGTGTAAGCAGGGAGGTTTGAGTCTCCAAAGCCTCGCTGTGAATCGCGATGGAATCGACTATAATGCTCATTTACTTAAGATTTTCATTAATTTGGAGATGTTGTTTTCTAAAATCTTCAGTTTGGAGAGTTTGTGTCTCCAGAAAGCGCTCCATCATAGATTCTATCCTAGAGTGAGTAAACGTCGCATCGAGTTCTTCTAGTAATAATTCGAGGTTGGATGTATCGAAATCTTGCGGTTCCTCAAAAGATTGGGAGTGGTCATTGTAGAGGGAATTTGGGTGAGAATGTTTCATATTGAAATCCTCCAATAATATTTCGAGGTCAGATTTAAGCAGATCTTGTGGTTCCTCAAAATATTGAGATTGGTAGTTATAAGGGAAATTTGGGTTATACATAGTAATTTAGATAAGAGTACCTTAGTCTATACTATGCAACAACGGAATCACAATATTGACTGTTGGTCCCCGGCAACGGCGCCAAAAATTTGATGCGTCCGCAAGTGCACGTAAAGATCGAAGTAACATAAAAGATTATCGAACCCACAAAGACCAATGTCAACCTACCGTTATCTATTGTTACGACGTAAAGCTAAGGCTAATGGAATTTGGAAAGTTAAATGCGAATGAAATTAAATACAAAGGAAATAAAGATTATTAGTTTTAGAAATATATTGATAAGGTATATCGGTATGCAATACCTTAGTTATCGAGGATTCGACACGTCACCGGTGCTTCTGGTAGTTTTTGAAAATACTTTTCAGGAGAAAATACTCGTTTAAAAACCTTTGCCTCACGCAGGTTGTTGACTCGGGTCATAATCCTAAGGCGGAATGTACGCTCTCGCAGTCCCATTCGAGGTTAAAACTACTTTTTGAAAACAAATAACTTCTGATTTCTTTTAAAGCACTTTCGCTGTGTTTAAAATCAATGCCTAGTTTTTACTATCCGGTTCAAACCCCACGCTCTCACGTGCCGACTCGAGCCTTAATAAGTTTCCCACTCTCATGGCGAAACCGTTGTAAAAAGCTTCTCACTCTCGTGACAAAGGGTATTTAGAGAATTAGATTAAAAACTACGGCCAGAAAATCGTTTGTAAAAAGGAAAGGCACCGAGTATTATCGAATCCCGTCCTACTAATTTATTTACATACCGATAAAACTAATTTAGCTTGACATGATAATTAATGCAAATGGAAATAAACATAAACAACAAAATGATATAACATACATAATGAAGGAAATAAAATAAATATTCAATTAATAAAAACCTGAAAAGTAGTACTGAAATTGAATTCTCGAGTAGTTCTTCACAATGTCGGCAGGATTCTACTATGGCGAAATAAAATTGCAGAAAGAAATACAATGCTCTGAACTAAAGGGAAAAAGGAAAGGAAATAAAAGAAACAATAGAAATAGCTTCAATAGAAATTTTGACAGCACTTCGATACGTCGAAGCCCCCCCTCAAAGTTGTGAATCTAAGGCTTAGTTATAGGAGATATTTAATTTCTCAACTTCCAGAGATCATGCATGAATTATGGGGGGAAGTGGGAGTAACTTCCTATAGTGGGCAGTTAGTGGAGAAAGTGTAGGAAGAAATTAAGTTGAAGGTGTTCGTGACCACTTCTATTTTGAACGAACTTCTGATATTTGGTTCATGACGGTCGCGGTGAAGTTGTGACGAACGTGTTGCACGTGACGATCGTGAGGGTCCGTGACGATCGTTAGGAAGCTGTGACGAGCGTCACACGCACAAAAATCTGTTTCTCTGCTACTTTCAGTTTTTCTTCTCTATTTCTTTCTTTCTTGTTTCTTTTCCTTCCATTTCTTCTTCTTTTCTTTCTTTAATCCAAATTCTCCATAATCTGCAAAACATAGTGAATTAATTGTATAATAGAACATAAATCAAGATAAATTAACAATAATCGCAAATAAATTCATGTAAGTCAAGCCAAATAAACGATATAATTTTGCGTTATCAGTTCGCCTAACTAGGGTTGAGGAACTCTTAACAATGGTCAAGGTTCCAAAGGGAGTAAGTATTCATAACCATGATACTTACATAGAGTTAACAAACTCTCTAAGCCTAAGTTGAAATAGTAGCTAAGGTTTGACTTTTAGCAAAGTCAAAAGGGGAAAAGTGAATACACATAACAATGATACTCACATAGAGTTTACAAACTTTATGCTTAATTCTAAGTTGTAAGGAAACAATGACTCTAACAAGGCCAAGAGGGGAAGAGTAAGTACTTATAATAGTAGTACTTACATAACCAACAAAGCTTGATAATTTGGTTAGTTATGCAAAGATGATTGACCTATAATTCTCATGAAAATGATGATGACATCTAAGGGGTAAAATTTGGGGTATGAAAATAGGTTAAATGTTTTATTAAATTAACTCGGCCAGAGGTTTCTTATTTACATGGCTGATTTCATAGGTTAGAGGTTTTATTAACTTAACTCGACCAGAGGTTTCTCACTTACATGGTCGATTTCATAGGTTAAAGGTTTTATTAACTTAAGCAGACCGGGGTTTTCTAATTTACACAGATGATTTCATAGGCTAGAGGTTTTATTAACTTAACCTGACTAGAGGTTTCTCATTTACATGGCCGATTTCATAGGTTAGAAGTTTTATTAACTTCCGAGTCAGAGGTTTCTCATTTTCATGGCCGATTTCTTTAAGGTCATTGATGATGCCTACGATATTCGTAGCTTGCTGGGACGAGCTTAGCTTTTCTATAAAAGTGAGACACAATCATATGAATTGAGGGTGCTTCATTAAAAACCATTACCATTGCAAGGGAAAAGAGTGCTACCCATAATTTTATTCAAATAACACCATTACATAGTGTTTAAAGGTAATAAAACCTAAGGTTGGAAACATTCCAAGCCCTCGACATTTCTAATCCTTCTAATTTCTCAAGCTTGTTGGCTTAATTGTTTAGTTTATGCTTGATCTGATAAGGCCCCTCCCAGTTTGGGAAGAGCTTTTCCTTCTTTTGTGTATATGTAAACATTTTCAAAACCAAGTCTCATTTTTTAAAACTTCTTGGTCGAACTTTGGTGTTTAACCTTCTGGCCATCCTCTGCTCTGCTGCGCATTCCCTCACATGAGTCATTCTTCTGATTTCTTCTATGAGGTCGGCAAAGTTGTCCAATACTTCCTTCTCACAACCCATAATCAATTTATCTCTCCTTCCCGCTTACAACTAATTATGCTCATGCTAACACGTCAGTTCAGGTGAAAAGTATCTATAAACATATACAGAATAAATTGTCAAAGATATCGTAAAGCATATTAATTTTTGAATCAGTTAAAAATCAAACATAAATATAAAGCATACAACATCGTTGATGAAAAACTGTGTAAAATTTACTAGAAAACCATCATAATTTAGACCGCACAAATAAAACATTCTGAACTACTGAAATTTTTACTGTCCACAAAATATCCAATATATCGAATTTTTCCAAAAAGTCTAAAACTTCTCAATGTTTCCTAGATATTTCGAAATATCCAGTAGCAATATACCAAAATTTTTAAATAACCAATAAATACAAGAATAAGAAAACAATAAAGAATTGTCACAAGTTAGATTTAAATTGGTTTAACCGAATATATAGCATTCATTAAGTCATTTTGGACCACAATGGACCGCCAATGAAAGAAAACATTGAATTTGTTTTCGTTAGGAAACATTAGAAACTCAACAACTATCTAATTCCTGGAAATATTAATCGATAAACTTTGAATCTAACCCTTCAAATAAAAATCCAGAACATATGCAAAATCCAAACAAAACCCTTACACATATAAAATAAAAAACTAGTACTAATTATCTTCATCTATAGGTCGACACTTTTCTCCCATCAATATATTCTTCTTCCAAAGAGCTTCTTCTTCATCATCTTGCTTTCCTTCCTCCAATTCTTCAGCCTCTATTTTTCTCCAATATAGCTTCTTCATCATTGAAACTCTTCTCCTATTAATCTTCCTTTTCAGCTTACAAATCAACTTGTTTTCGTTCCTCGCCGATACCGCCGTTGCTTCTTCCTCCACGTAGAGATTCTTCATGCTCTTAGTACCACATAGAAAAGTGATGATGGAAAACATAGAGAAAATAGCAAGAACAAGAAAGAGAATTGTTGTGTAGGACATGGATGATGAATATAGAAGAAAATTGTGAAGATTAGAAACAAGAAGAGGCCTTGCCATATTGAGAAGAAAATAAAATACTAGTGATTGTTGATTAGTGTGTCTTGTGTTGGAGTGTATGTAAGGGAGAGTTATTTACACGCTACAAAAACTAGTTGTACTAAATTTGTGCGTGTTGTAGGCTTTAAAAGATAACTCCTATTTGAGGTAAAATAAATTGATTTTAACCTTTAATAAAATTATCATTTCCTACAAAATAATATTTTTTCAAAAAATACAATATATATATATATATATATATATATATATATATATATATATATATATATATATATATATATATATATATATATATATATATATATATATATATATATATATATATATATATATTTAATGTCCAATTATTAATATGTAATTGTTAGTATGGTATTTATATGTTTGGTAAAGATTTAACGTTGGACCTCCCACTTCTTTAATCTTTAGCTCAATAAATTCAAACCACTTGAATTGTCTTTCCTATTTTTATAAAAGTTATAAGTGATGTGAAACTCTTCCACCTTGTGCTCTACTAAAATGGGAAAGACTAGTCAAGAGAGAATCAAAGATGATCAAGCAGTGAAAAAATATAATAATTTGAAGTAAAAAGTATATATTTAGTTTTTCTTTTTTAAATCAATATTTTTCAATATGCTTTCTTAATGTCGTTATATCCTTTAAAATAAATTTATATGAACCACTATTATTTGGTATGCACAAAGTGGGGCAGATTGATTTGGCATCATCCAAGTAGAGAGAGGAAGGGAAGATGGGCTTGCTTGACTTAGGTGGTAGACTTGGGTCCTCGTTTTTGTCTACATTGGACTACACTTTCTTCTAGACTAGTACTTAGAATGAGAATGAACAATGTTTGGGCATTATTTGGGCATTATGATACTATAGTATATGTTTCTAAATCTATAATTTGAAAAAGAAAAAGAATGTACTCGAGTTTATACTCGAACTTATATATTATATGAGTAACTAAGTACTTATGTCCATACTCATTTATTTGGCATTTTAAATGAAAAATTAGAGTTAGAGATATTTTAAATCTTTATAAATAGTCGACCATTAAATTTTAGTCTTTATAAAATTTTATTCTAATGGTTCTTTAAATATTTTTCGTATATAAATTTGGTTCATTTCATTAGTTTTTACAAACAAAGGCTGATGTGGCAGCACACATGACATAATATATGTAGTTTGACAAGTGATGACTTGACCAATACGGATTAATAATAGTTATGTGAAGTTAAAATTATTTTAATTAAGTTAGAGAATCAAGGGTCAGAAACCCTACACCATTTGATTAACTTTATAACATTTGAACTTTCACCATTTCAAACCCTACGAACTCAAGAACGGTCTTCTAGCTTTGGTGCATTTTGGCTCATTTTTATTCGAAACATTGATTTAGTTCTTCTCTATTTGAAGTCGTTTACGAAAAAAAGGGAAAAATGTTGCTTGTTGTTGCGGTGGTCCCATTTAGTTTACTAAAAGCTTGTGGCGGTTCCATTGAGACATTTCAAAAGCGCGTCCTGTGGTCCTTCACACTGCAGTTCAGGTTTGTCCACTTGTTTAATAAATTTTTTATTTTTGTGTTGAGTATTAGTTTTGGGTTTAGGGATCCATCACTTTTTGTAATAATTGAGGTTTTGATTGTTTAATGCTGGTCATTTTTTTAAATATATTTTTAGTGTATTAGTTTTGCATAATATTGATTGTACTTCGATTGTGTATTTGTATACCTTATTTGATGTAAGTTGTACAAATTTGACCCTAGGTGTAATGTACAGAAGATAAGGTTATTCAAGGTGGTGTTCAACATTAAGGGTTATTTTGTAAATAAAAAACCCTAACTTAAGATACGAGGGTGGAGAAGTTTATGCATATAGTGGTCAAGATCCGGATTATTGTCTTATTTTGAAGCATGTGACTTAATCAAAGGGATAAATTATGTTGGGTGTAACATCCTGTTTTTTCGTTTATTTTATTTTAATTGAGTTAAAAATAATTTATGTTATTCTATGGGAGTGCTCTATTTAACTTATTGGTATTATTGAGACTGGGAAGAATTTTATTAAAATTATCACTAATTTTTAATTATTTAAATAATAAAAATAACGAGAAATTGAACATTGAGGTTAAAATTAGAATTTTAATTAAAATTAAAGAAAAATGTGGAATTAGTGAGAATTGAGGGGAGTTAGTGAATTAATAAAATTAATATGGTTTTATTTAAATAGATAAGAGAATTAGAGTTAGTGTTGTTGTGGTGAGTAATAGTTGTCAACAGAGTCAGAGAGAGCCCTAGTAGAGCAAAAGGTAGGAGATGAGAGCTTCTGTTGTCAAAAGTTCCAAAATTTTGCTGCAAATTCGAGGTAGGGGAGATTGTTCATGATATGGGTGTTTAGGGCATAAAGGATATAGAGGATTCCTTATCCTCTTTCTCCTTTCTTTCTAATTTTCTTCAATTGATGAAATTGTTGGATCTAGAGATGGTTTGTGCAAAATATCTCTTGATTGTTGTGATTTGATGTTAATTTTGTGTTTTATTGGTGACTGATTTTCGTATGAAATTGTATGTGAAATTTTGATTTTTTATGTTTATATTCTTATGTGATGTTTTGATGAAAAGTATGAATGATTTGATATTAAATGATTATTTTGTGTGAAATTGATATGCCTAATGTTGTATAAATTGTGTGTGATGTTTTGCTGTAGATTTTGGGTTTTTTAGAATTGAAATTGGAGCTTTGGAAGTGCTCCAATGGTGAAAATGCAAAATTCTACATTCTGCACAATCATGACGTGTGTACCATTCGTGACGGGCCAATCAGCAGTGCATTGAAAGGGGTAACCAGCATAAACGTGATGACGGGTATACCATCATGGACCCTAGGGACAGGCTCTTTGCCTGAGCATCAGTATTATGACGTTTGCATGACTGAGGGAGGTGACAGGCATGTGTGACTGCCATCATGCATAATGGGCAGACCGTCATACCTCTGTTTGACCAATTTTGGGTCGTTTGACTCAACTTTTTGAGTAGTGTTTTTTCCGATGTTTATTCAATTTTAGTTTGATGTTGTTGTGATTAAAATGTTGAGTAATGTTAGGATGTTCGTTCAGAGAGGAACTAATGTGTGTCCTTATATTGGCGATTTTCATGTTGAGTTTTAGGTTCAAAGAGGAACCAACGATGAGTATTGGAGTTGGAGATTTGAGACTAGTATTGCATTTGTTTGTTGCATTCATGAAGTATATTGGAGATAGGTGACAGACTTCGATTCAATGATGAGTCTCGGGTTCAAAAAGGAACCTGTGACGAGTCTGTTGGTTCCAAGATGGAACTAGGTTCTGAGAGGAACCAATAACGCGTCAAATGGTTTAGAGATAGAACGAAGTTCAGAGATGGAACCAGTGAGGAGTGGATTAATCAGAAAGATACATTTGATATAAAAAAACTTTTGTACCACATGCATTTGAGTAAAGGATATAAGATATATTGGATACATAACTGCATCTCTAGTTGATTTTGTTGTGGTTGATTCATTTGGTTGATTAGTGATATTATTTGCACTATCCATGATATAATTTGTATCACATAAATTCAACCACTTTTCATGAAATTTCTAGTTCCCAAAAAAAATTCAAACTCCCTTTAAACAAAAGAAACCACATAATTTTCCCCTAAAAACCATCAAATATTTCCTTTTTCTAACAGCCAATGGCAGTGCGCCACATACCCCCAATTACCATCCCGCGTTTCTCCTTTTAAACAACCACTCTTACCATGATATGTGGCAGTCATAAACCTTGATGAAAAAGTTTCTTATGGGCTCAAGAGTATTGTTAGAAGGCCAAACTTCAATCCAAAAGAGATATCAAGAAACATTGCATGGCTTAAGGATTGTTATCAATTTTAATATATGGTGCGTGCTTTAGCAATTATCTCTAATTTTATTATTTTAGTTTATGTAGCCTTTTTTAAAAGTGGCTCATTACGTAGTTTTCTTAGTAAAACTTAACTATTTATAATGTAATGTTGAATTTGTGTCAAACAAATGAAAATTCTGAAAGTTTGTTTTTTTTTTCCTTTGAAATATTGATCAATATTGTAACCCTGTCACTAATCTATCATATTATAATAACCACTTTATAAATTATGTTATTGAAACTATTGAAATTTAATTTTCCTTTTTTTGTCTTTCTATTTTGACATATCTATTTATTTATATCTCTATTGTTAACAAATTGATTATTTCTCCTAGCAAGTCTATATTTCTCAACAACAACAAAAAATTGTCTCGATTATAAAATCCATACATATCAAAGAAATAATATTTTAAATATTTAAATTACATAATATTTATATGTCACAATGAGATTTTGCTTGCTGAGATTGTAAATGCAAGGTCTTTTATTCCTGTCAGCATTCATCAAGAGTTGGAAAAGATTTGAAAGTTGAAATCTCCTAGCAATATTATTTTGTTTGCTTGGAGGACTTTGCTCAATATCTTTATAACTAGAGTGGAGCTTGGTATAAGGAATGTGATCATTGATAGACATGATATGAGCTTCCCTCATTTTTATGAAGTAGAAGAATCATATTATCACTTATTTCTGAATTACTTTGTAGCCAATCATATGTGAAATCTACTGTATGGATGGATTGGAATGGATTCTATAAAAACAGAAGGCTCAATTGCAAAAAATTCCAAGTATTTTTGTAGGAAGCTAAAAGGTAGGATCAAACAATGGTGAATGGCTTATTGTGGCTATCTGTGTGCTGGTCCCTTTGGCTTTGTAAGAACTATATGTTGGTCAATGGAAGGCTTAAATTGGTGGGAATATGGACTAATAACGATCTAGAGGGGGTGAATAAACCTCCCAAAATAATATTTCATTTGAAAAAGGTTTTTATTGGAGTTTCAAAAACAATATGTTTTTCATGGAGGAAGCAAAGTTTGCGTAAAAAAGACATTATGCTTATCGATTGGAAGTTATGTGAGTGT